GAGATGTCCATGCAAAAAATGTCAGAATGTAATGTGGCATCTATTGGACGTAGTGGAACAACACTTATTCACGAATGGGATATCTCCTAACTACAGTTCGTGGGTACATCACGGAGAACCACCTAACTATGACCAATATGTAACAGRCACTCRTCCGTCCCAAGAGAACATAAATAGAGAGTGTAATGTTACCAGAGAACAAGATGAGATGTCTGAGTTTCTAAATGATTTGAGAGGTCCGATGGTAGAAGATGATGAAGATGAAGAAGACTTTGCCTCTGGGATGCTGACACAAGGTTTTGAAAGGGACAATTCGAACGAGTTTGAGGACTTGATGAAGGAAGCAACTAAAGAATTGTACCTTGGTTGTACAAAAATAAACTCGTTAAATTTTTTGATTAAGTTGATGCACATCAAGGTGCTAAATAAGTGGAGTAATAAATCATTTGATATGTTACTCGAATTATTGAAGGTAGCATTTCCAGACAGTACGAACATATCTAGTTCATTCTATGAAGTGAAAAGGAAACTGCGTGTGTTAGGATTAGGATACGAGTCCATCCACGCTTGCAAGTACGATTGTGTATTGTTTTGGAAAGAATTTGCAAACTTCGAAGTGTGTCCAAAATGTGGTGAGTCACGGTACAAAGATACCGGTGATAGTAGTAAAAAGATCCCTCATAAGATATTGCGCCATTTCCCATTGATACCCAGGTTGAAGCGATTGTACTCATCGAAACATACAACATTTGAAATGAGATGGCATAAGGAAAAGCGGGTTGATACAGAGGGTGTGCTACGACATCCAGATGATGCTACTGGGTGGAAGCATTTGGATACTGAATTCCCTCATTTTGCATCAGATCCTAGAAACGTTCGACTGGCTCTAGCTTCTGATGGATTCAACCCATCAAGTAACATGAACCATTCGTATAGTATGTGGTCGGTTATACTTGTACCGTATAATTTGCCACCCTGGAAATGCATGAAAGAACCATATTATTTTATGTCCTTGCTCATACCTGGACCTAAGTCGCCTGGAAAAGATATTGATGTATATTTGCAACCGTTGATTGAGGAGTTGAAGGAGTTATGGACCAATGGTGTACGCACGTATGATTGTTTCAGTGGAGAATATTTTAAAATGCATGCAGCTTTGCTATGGACCATTAATGACTTCCCTGCATATGGCGATTTGTCTGGATGGAGTACCAAAGCTATCAAGCATGTCCTATTTGTAAAGAAGATACATCATCGTTTAGAATACGTGGTAAAATATCACTCATGGGTCATCGTCGTCATCTTCCAGAAATGCATAGTTGGCATAGGAGTAAATGTCATGATGGAAAGATTGAACGTAGGCTTCCTCCAGCCATAATGGATGGAGATGAGATTCTTCATGAAGTGACCTATTTGAAATTTCCCCCATTTGGTAAGCATCCATCAAATGCTAAAAAGAAGCGAAAGCGTGATTCTAATTGGACAAAAAGGAGTATATTTTTTGAACTTCCTTATTGGTCGAAACTCTTGTTAAGGCATAAGCTTGATGTGATGCACATTGAGAAAAATGTGTGTGATAGCTTAGTTAGCACTTTGTTGAGTATTGAAGGTAAATCTAAGGATACATCAAACGCTCGTTTGGATTTACAAGATTTAAAAATACGCAAAAAGTTACACTTACAGAAACAAGGTAATAAGTATCTGAAACCTCAAGCTACGTACACTCTTACAAGAAGGGATTGGATAGAATTTTGTAAGTTCCTTAAATCTATCAAATTTCCTGATGGATTTGTTTCAAATATATCTCGATGTGTTAGCGTTGAAGATGGAAGAATATGGGGATTGAAAACTCATGATTGTCATGTGTTACTCCAACGAATTCTTCCTATCGGTATTCGAGCATACGTACAAAAAGATGTGAGTACATCTATTGTTGAACTATGTAAATTCTTTCGTGATTTATGCGCGAAGATAATATCCACAAGTGATTTAGATCGTTTAGAAGCTGATATAGTACTCATACTTTGTAAGTTGGAGAAGATATTTCCCCCAGCATTTTTTGACGTCATGATACACCTTGCCGTTCATTTACCTTACGAAGCAAAAGTAGTTGGTCCTGTTAGTTACAGTTGGATGTATCCTATCGAGARAAGCTTGTGGACTTTGAAACAATACGTTACAAACAAGGCTCGTCCAGAGGGTTCAATAGCAGAAGCCTTTGTCATGAATGAAGCGTTGACTTCCTGTTCATTGTATCTAACAGGCATTGAGACTAGACTTAATAGGGACGAACGGAACGATGATATATTAACTGATAATGAGATTTGTGGGAAGTTTGACATATTTAGACAGAGCGCACGACCATTAGGGTGCCCGACATTGCGTAGACTATCTGATGATGAGAAAAGAATAGTTCACTGGTATGTACTGAACAATTGCGCAGAAATAGAATCTTATCGCAAGTACATTTCCATTGCATTTATTAATGAAGCATGCATACTCCATAATCTATTGAATTTATGTTTTGCTTCTAACAAAAGGCAATATTTGAGCATGCTTCGACCTTGGGCAGTAAGCACGGCAGACTTATATAGAAATCACCAATTACAGTTTCCCGATTGGTTTAAATCTCAAGTAAGTGTGCTTTTTTAGCGTCCCAAAGTTCATACTACATTATGTGTAAACAATAATGGCCAAAAATGTTTATTACATGAGCAGGTTTTAGAACTACGAAAAGATGGAAATATATCTGATGATCACTACTCTTTAGCTCACGCAGTTATAGTGGTTGCATTGTGAATCGTACACGTTTTCACAATACAGAGCGGGATACGCGTCGAGTAACACAAAATAGTGGAGCCATGGTGTCAGGAGATACTGAAGGAGATGATAAGAATTTCTATGGTGTCTTGAGCGAGGTTTTATACTTGGACTACTGTATTAGAAGACGTGTCATGACATTTAAATGTAACTGGTTCGACACGGATGTGAAAAAAAAACGATCAGTAGTAGATTTAGGATTTGGAACGATCGATACGTCTCACTACTGGTATGTGGATGACCCATTTATCCTTGCTAGTCAGGCCCAACAGGTTTTCTACGTGGACGATCCTAAATTGGGAAAAAATTGGAAGGTAGTGCAGATAGTTCAAAATAAACGTTTGTGGGACGTCCCAGAACTAGATGATGTGGATAATGATGAAGTTAATCTGTTAGAGATAGAAGGTGGTATTACCATCGATCAAACTATTGCAGATAGTTCTTACTATAGAGATGACGTTACTCCAACTGTTGTTGATCTACAAATCATTGAAGAAAGAGTTAACACGGGTCCACCATTGAACATAGACGATAGTTTTATAAATGACGAAGAGCAGAATGTTGAAGTATCTCATTCTAAAAGTTCAGAGACTTTAGAATCAAATGAATTTGAAAGTGATTAAGTATGTAATTTTACTGCATACCTACTTTTGCAATGTGTTCATGTTGATAATGTTTGTAATTAAAGTTTCATTATTTATTGTATTATTTGACAATGTTTTGAATAATTTTTTTTAGGTATGGCTCGAAACACACAAGGGGAGGCCGAAGATATATTCAAGCAAGGGCAACGGGAGGAAGTTTGGGAGACGACTCCCAAGACATCCCTTCCAGTTAGTATAGTTAAAAGTTGTTTTTTTTTGTTAAGATTTCAATAATACTTGATAAAATGTGTAATGATTTAAGGTAGTGCTACTCAGTCTCATAAGGGACGGGGAGTAACTCGGTGTGTACAATTGACAAGGAGGTGGGAAAAGATGGGCCTGTCTCTATTGTAATGGACGAGTTCTCACAGAAGCCAATATGCAAGAATGCCACACGCATGTCAAATGCCATAAGATCCATTGTTCGAGAGAATTTCGACCCAGCACTGTACTCCCGTTGGTTGGACGTACCGATGGAAGTTAGGGATGCAGCAAAACAACGCATAGTGGTAAGTTATTTATTTTCATATATTTAAATACAATGACATGAAATTACATCCCACTCATTTATTGCTGCAGAATTTGTTCAAGGTGAACATGTCACAGGCGATAATAAGGAAGTATGTACACACAGCACTACGAACAACATTTAAGGAGTTTAGGGCAGAATTGCATGCCCACTACAAAGAAAATGGACCTCCCAATGTAGCTCGGGAGAAACCTCATGCTAGAATCACGAAGTTGCAGGATTGGCACAAGTTGTGCGACAGATGGGAGACTCCAGATTGGAAGGTGTGTAAATCTATCTCCTACCTTACACCATTGTGAGATACGATGCTAATCTCATGTTGCTAACTTCAATAAGGAAAAATCAGGAAAAGCCAAGAGAAGTAGAGCGAAGTTACCATACAACCATCGGGCTGGGTCAAAATCTTTCGGTCGCCTGCAACACGAATTGGTTTGTATATATAGTTCATAATTACACGTACCATTATGCACTGTGTAAATTGAAATGTGCAATTAATGTCAAATGCAGAAAGAACGGAGGGGTGTCGAGATCGGCCCCATAGAAATGTTTAAAGAGACCAGGCATCCAGACAAAGGGTGGGTCTCTGGAGGGGAATCGACATATGTAAGGGTTAAGTCGTCGTATTCGTTATGGGAGTACATGATATTAAAATAGTATGTTACATGTAACTCACCTTTCGTTTACACGACGCATTGATGGCCATGAAGAACGCACCTGTATCCGAAGGTGCAGACCCACCCACAGACAAAGATTGTTGTCTCGCGGTTTTTGGTTCTCAATCTGGATTCGTTGCGAATATGGGGTTATGCCCACCGCCATTAGCACGCGGTGGACGAAGCTCGTCGCAACTGGAGGAATTGAGGGAGACTAGCGACCAGTTGAGGCAAACAAACGAAGAGCTGAAAGAGACAAACGAAGAGCTGAAAGAGACAAAAGAGGATCTGAGGCAAACAAAAGAAGAGTTGAGAGAGACGAGAGATCGACAGAATGTCTCAAATGAATGATTGAGCAAGAATGAAGAAATTCTAAATAAAATGCAAAAGCATGAAGCAGAAATGCGTAACGAGTTGAACATCTTCAGTCGTGCAATGGCACAAATCATGAGTCAACAAAGCTCAGAACTCGATTCGCCGTTTGGATAGGTATGAATCACATCCTTAAGTAGTCCTTTGAACATGTATATGTAGTTTTGCTCATGGATGAAGTAATTGTGTGGCTATCCTGCAATTATGATAGCTAGGAAATAGTTTAATTTAACACTTGTTGGGTGAAGTAATTGAGATAGTTATGTTATTTATGTTGTCCGTGTGACTTTGATAATCATAGTTTTGCTCATGAAAATGAAGAGAGAGACATTGGAGGAAGAAGAGAGTCATGGGAGGAAGAAAAACCATGTAGTCAGGGGGTCGGTTGATGGAGATTTATAATTTTGAAGGGCGAATGGTTAAGAATTTGTGGGGCTTTTGATGGCAAAGTTGATCGATCTACCTAACTGTTACTGTTTGATGGCAAAGTTGAAGAATGTACTGCACCAAGTGCGTAATGATTGATTGTTTTAATTGTTGATTTCCTGAGTCACACTTGTTCATTGGAAATCTTCCATTGATATTGCTCCTTTAAGTTGAACAACCTAGTTCTTCTACTTGACTGGTTGCTTGTCGCTTTCCAGTGATAGCCTAGGGGGAATTTGTATGGAAAAGTTCATGAGTTGGGAGAAAACAGTTCTCATTTCAGTTTGATTTTAAAAGAGGCGGGATGTTTTTGCCTGGATAGTGTCAACAGCATGAAAATCCTAGCTTGTAGAGGAGTGTTGGTAATTAATGGTTTGGTGCGTGATGGTTGGTTGGGGAACTTAGCTGGCTAGATATGAATGCACTGCAACTCTGTTTTCTATTTCAATTTATATCTAGTTTGGATTTTCTCGAACTGGGTTTAGTCAAAATGTTGGATCTTTTGATCTATAGATTTGCCTGGCCTGTGTTTTGAACTAAAACATTATCTTTATTGTGAGTTGGTGAGTTTAGGATGGATACTTATTTTGATCAGTAATGGATTCGTTCTTTACTTTGATTTGTTTCTTTATGGAACTTGCAATGTGATGGAGTTTGCTTTGATTGAATTTATGCTTCATTTGTCTTGTAAATGATAATGGTAGTATTGAATAGATCGAGTTTAGTTTTAAGGAATTGCACAACTCCAACATTTTATAGAAAAGGAGTCTTTGCATACAGGTTGATTGAATTGCACAACATAGGGTTGCTAAAATAGGAATTGCACAACTCCAACATTTTCATTGAATTGAGTTTAGTTATGTTGTTTTTAGATTCAAGACTCCATTTCTTTACTTAAGTAGTCCTTTGATTGAATTTATGCTTCGTTTGTCTAGTAGATCGATCAAGATGTTGGAGTTGTTGAGAAATGTTTTGACTTCTCATTGTTTGTTTCCTATTATGAAGAGAGAGGAATTTTTTGTGTTTGAGATCTCTTTAAGATTCTTTGTATTGTATTAAAGACTTGTGATAGAATCAAATTTTACTTTTCATTCTTTACCTAGTTCGAATTACTAAACATTCATAATGGTTTTGTTTTGTTTTTTCAGGTACTTTTGGGAATTACTATTCTGCAAGGCTTCACGTGTTAGAAGATTAGATAGGTGAAACTTTTTTGGATAGGTGCAACTTTTGTAGACGGGTGCAACTTTTGTAGAGATGAAGTTTTTGTGCAACTTTTGTTGTGATGTAATATTTTATTATTACATCCTCAACGATTGTAACGTACATAAATTAGGGATACAAATTTTGTAACATACATCCTCAACTCTCTTAATTTGTAAGAAGATTATTTTATTTCATATAAAATCATATTAATTGATATTTTGATAATGTGAATTTAAATATCATAAATTAGGTTTCTAAAATAGGGATACAATTCAAATTAGGATTGAAAAAAAAAACTCTCGACATTTTTCAAAAAATGTGGGGAAAAAGTCAACTTTTCCCGACGTTTTGTACTCCGTCAGGAAAAGTTGACTTTTCCTAACGTTTTGTACCCCTTCGGGAAAAATCAACTTTTCCCGACTTTTTGTACTTCGTCAGGAAAAGTCATTTTTTCCCGATTATCGTATTTCGTCGGAAAAGGTCAATTTTTCCTACGTTTTGTCATAAGCGTCGGGAGTTACCTCTCCCGACGCGCCTCTCTCGACTCTTTTGCCGACGCAAAAAATTCGTCGGGAATAAATTTTCCCGACGTTTTGAAGATTTTTCCCGACGTTTTAAAGCTTCGGGAAAAAACTTATTTCTTGTAGTGCTACTACTGCCTTCGTCCTCGGAGAATCTAAAATTTTCTATCTCCTCCAGCTCAGCGTCTAACCCAGTTACTAAATCCTCACTAGAACTAGCTCTTTTATGGGACGAGGTGTTAGGGTTGCGACCTGATTCACCAGACGAACTACTATTGGAAGAGCTACACATGGCGATAAAATGAAAGCGAAGAGAAGTTTCGAGGGAAAGAAACAAACGTAGAGTGGGGTCAGACTCAAGATTTCCCATAAAAAAGGAAGCGTAAAAAGGTGGGCGAGAATCCGGCAAACTATTTATAGTGATGCCAAATTCATCTCGACCGTACACGTGTCTCTAAAGCGACAGTTCAAGATCGCATGGCATATCAAGCGTTAGAGCACTTGATTGCTCTAACAACTGTAATTATGACTCTCCATATTCTCAAACGACTATAAAATTTCACCGTGTTATCGGAAGTCGCCACTTAGGCAGATTTTCATGACCAATTGAAACTTCTCTGCCAGGTTAGTCTCGAACCTGACAAATAGGGGATCAATGTTTGGGGATGAAAATCGTAATGCCATGTTGAAGACATAGATTGGCACACCTGAAACCATCTTTACCCAAGTCCACCTCGAACTTGTCCGAGATGGAGTACGTAAGCAAATGCGGATTAAGACAACTGTCCTAATGTCCGACCTGCTATAAAATTCGACTAGCCATTTGGAACATGTCTGACTAGACGTCTGACACGAGTAAGCACCTTTCAGAAGGGCTGTCGGATCCCCAACCTATAAATAGAGGGCACCATTCCCAATCACAGGTATCGAATTTTATCTCGGACTTGATATTTAGTTCGAGCTACGTACTGACTTGAGTGTCAGAGAGTTTACTCTTTTGTGCAAGTCATTCCTTGTAACGCCTCGGGACTTCCCACACACTCCTAGGTCACGTTAACTACCTACCTATCTAAACTTAACCCCAAACACGAGATGACAACTCCCTGTGAAATAATTATATAAAATAAAGTTTCACCTCTCATCAATTTAACAATGAATCAACTCTATAGAATATCAATCAAACATCATCCGTGGACAACCTCATGAGGCAACTTTATTATTCCAACTAGGTAAACTCAAAGAATGGAGGAAAACTAAAATAAACACCTATCCCGAAATAAAGTAAACAACGAGTGGGAACCTCCCAGTTATTCAATAAGAACAAATAGTTTATTGAACAAAACATAAGGTCTTAACCATCTAAACTTAAGCTGAGCAAAAGTAACTACGCAGCCTATGGTCCTCGCTCGTCATGTCTCCTCCGTCTCATCACCATGGTCGCCAACGAATCCTTCACCTGAAACAATAATTGTAGGGGGGGGGTGAGTATATAAAATATACTCCGTAAGTAGCCCTCACCAACAACACACAAACATCATGCTCAACAAAGTCATGAAACATTCATAGTCATGCACTTCATCACATTATGCAATCACACATAGACACACTCTATAAGATTCGGCGACAACCACAACCATGAACAAATTAGTTACAACCTCGAGTCTCCCTAACATCTCAAGCACCTCTACGCTTATCACAGCTATCCTAGCCTTCCACAGCTAACTCCTTCGAGTAGAGTCGGCCCCTGACCATTTTTACCCAGAGCCCCGACACTACTGCATCGGCCCTCAACCATTTTTACCCAAGGCCTCGATGACTTCACCATCTATCGGCCCTTGACCATTTTACCCAAGACCCCAATAGTTTTCCTTCCAAGAAGACTCCTCGCATCGACCCTCGACCATTTCTACCCGAGGCTTCGATACTCAATTAGTGACGTATCAGCCCCCGACCATTTATACCCGAGGCCCTGACACTCACCCATTCACTTTCCCCAAGAATCCAACGTTCCTTATCATAACCAACTCCACATCAACCCCTAGCCTGCGAACAGGGTCCGGAAATATGCTTCTATTACACCCACATCTCATAAGAAAATAGTATGACTCAGACCAGCACGCTCGCAACATAAAGAAACGTTTATATATGCTCAACCAGCACGCTCACATCATAAATGAACATTTATATAACTATACAAGCACGCCCACATCATAAGAAAGCATAATCACAATAATTCTATTTTAACGTGCATCCTTTGTAAACATACATCATCCCACAATAATTTTCAGCAGTTTAGCAAGGCAAAATTCCACCATTATCACCGACGAATATTCAACACTACACCAAGTATACAGATTAACACAAACGAGAGTTACCTAG